TCACCTCATGGTTTTGCTCTATGAAAATTCCTAGGGGCTGGTGAGATGGCTCAGTGGTCTAAAGCACCTACTTAGAACAAGTTTAGCAAAGCACAGGGACCATGGTTCAATCCCCCAGCACCACATGCCAGCTAGCCCCGCCCCCTGGTGGGCTGAGCTGGCCACACACACACACACACACACACACACATAAATAAATAAATAAAATTTTTTAAAAATTTTTAAAAAGAATGGAACAAACATGAAAAATAATTAAGTAATACTTTTACAAAGGAAGAATTGTTGAAATCAGAATTGCAGGGTTAGATACAGAAAAGACAATTAAATAAACTGGAATCAGATATGATATAACTCCAGCCCACAAGTGTGGTGCTGTGTATTTGAACTCCCTACTACTCAGGAGGCTGAGATCTCTTCAACCAAGAAGTTGGGGCCAGCACAGGCAACTTGGTGAGACCGTGCTATAAAAAAAATTTTAAAAAAACTCTAAAAAACAGTATAGAGAATGACTAAACAGAAAATACGGAGAGTTTAAGAGAACAGTCTTAAGAAAGACTCAGGCAGGGAAATATAGCTCAGTGGCATAGCATCTGCCTAGCAAGCACAAGGTCCTGAGTTTGATTCCCAGTACCAAAAGAAAAAAAAATACTGAAATTGCTGGGCATGGTGGTGCACACCTGTAATGACAGTACTCCAGATGCTGCGGCAGGAGGATTGCAAGTTAGAGACCAGAGAGACCAGCCCGCAAAATTCAGCAACTGGTGAGACCGTGCCATGAATTTAAACCTGGGCTACACAATCAGTTTGAGGCCAGCCTGACCTATGTAATGAGATTGTCTCAAAAAAAAGATGGTGAAATGAAAACGTTTCAGATAAAATAGAATTTGCCTCCAGCAGACTTTGACCTAAGTAAATTCTACATTAGGAAGAAGGAAAATTGTACGAGAAAGGAGATCTGAGATACAAGAAGGAGTGGTGAGCAAAGAAACTGGTAAGCATTTGAGCAAATCTAAGTGCTACCTGTGTAACATACTAATGACAATCAATAACATTTAATTTGTGAAGCTTAAAAGTATTGGATAACCAGGAGATGTTATTTTTAAGTTAATGCATGTTGGGCTGGTGAGATAAGTCAGCAGTCTAAAGGGCCGGCTTGAGCAAGCTTAGGCAAGTGCAGAGACTGCAGTTCAATCCCCAGCACCGCCCTGCCCCCAGGGCAGGCTGAGCTGGCCACAAAAAAAAATAAAAATAAAAAGATTTAATTAATGCATGTTAAAATTTCAAGAGATCACTTCTAAAAGAAATGAACGTGTAAATTCTAAGAGAATAAGGAAAGGAAATTTTTTTAAATTTTAAGTGTTTTGCCACTATTTCATTTTATGACCTCTGTAGTGCTTCATAGCCTTTGTAAGTTTTAGGTTTGTCATCTTTAATGTGTGATTGCTAGTGCCTTTTCTTACAGGATTGTGAAAATAAAATTAGACAATATTTAAAAAGCTCAAATCTAGGGCCTGCAAGATAGCTCAGTGGACTAAGAGGCTGCTTAACCAAGCACAGGGACTAGAGTTCAATTCCCAGCATCACATGACACTGAGATCTGGAATGAGGGTGCATGCCTATAATCCCAGCGCCGGGAAGGCTGAAAACAGGAGGATCACTATGAGTCTGAGCTGCACAGTGAGATGAAAGCACAAATCTAGTAACTAATAAATGTTCAATAAAAGATATTACAAAAAAAAAAGGGGGGGCTAGTGAGATGGCTCAGTGGTCTAAAGCACCTACTTAGAACAAGCTTAGCAAAGCAAAGGGACCGCGGTTCAATCCCCCAGCACCACATGCCAGCCAGCCCCGCCCCCTGGTGGGCTGAGCTGGCCACACACACACACACACACACACACACAAATTAAAAATAAAATAAATAAAAGATATTACTGTTAATAGATTATTTAATTCAGCTCTTGACTGATGTGTAAAGCCATGCTCATGCAGCTTCTGCAATGAGAGAAAAAGCTAGAGCCAAAAACAGCTAATGAATGCTAAACAGTTCTGATAACACTGATAGGTCTTCCCCGTATTAATTGTACTATTTGCCTCTCATTTTCCTTTCTTTATTTCTGGGTTTTTTTGGTTTGGGTTTGGGTTTTGGTTTTGGGGTTTGGGGGTTTTTTGTTTGGTTGGTTGGTTGGTTTTTTTGGTGGGTTTTTTTTGTTTTGTTTTGTTTTGTTTTTTGAGACAAGGTCTTTCTATGTCATTTAGGCTGGCCTAACTCACTATGTAGCCCAAACTTACCTCAGACTTACAGTGATTCTCCTGCCTCAGCCTCCTGAGTGCTGGGATTACAGGTGTGTACAATCACACCTGGATATTTGCCTTTAATTTAAAAGTTCAAAATATCAAGGGTTTCACATCCTACCCCAACCAATATGATCTCATGATTTTTCTTCTCGCTCTATAAACATATTTGAGATCTCCTTCCTTGACACTTGTGCACAGAATACTATTTTGAAGAACAGGTAGAATTGGGATGATTTTCTCCACCTGGAAAATCCTCCCTGACATGTAATCTATTCTGCAAAGCCCAGCTCAAAGTCCCATAAACTTGTAATAACTGTTTATGCCTATTTCTTTTACTGCTTTTTCAATTAAACTTTTATTTGAGCTTTATATCGTCACAGAATTTTCATCCAACTTACATGGTTTTTCCTGCTACATTTTCAGTTTCTTACGGCAATGGCCTTTTCTTTCATCTTTGTTATATCCCCTATACCTCTTAGGGAAGGGAAATAGGATTTATTATCAACTTTCTTTCAAACACTATGCTAAATGTTTTCTTATATTTTTTGTATATTCATCCACATAGCAAACTTATAAAAATAGATGTTAATGTTCCCATTTTACAGATGATATTTCAGAAAGATTAAGTAACAGTGTAAGATGAAATAATTCACACACACACACAAAAAAAAAAAAACTTACCTTATTCTTAAGGTTCTGGTTAAAAGTACCCCTTTCAGAACATTCTTTGTGTTCTCCTTTCCCTTTTCCTAGGGTTACACATCTTTCTGGAATGACTGCATATCATCTGGCCTGCGAGGGGGCATCCTAATAGAACTGGCCATGAGAGGTCGAATCTATCTGGAACCCCCCACCCTGCGAAAGAAGCGCCTCCTAGACAGAAAGGTACAGCATCGTCTGTGAACACTCTTAACTTCTGGCTAGAAAATAGTGATAGAAGATAAATGGCTATCCCATTCTCTAAGTACTATTCTGTAGCAGAGGAAGAAACCTAAATACACTTAGAAAAGTTATAGGAATCATGGTATTGTCTTGTCTTAATGTAGAAAAATTGAATGTAGGATGCTGTCAATTTTTTTTTCTTCAATTTCTTTCTCCATATCTTTAGCTATAACTTTATGAAACAGAGTAGATAGGAACATCTGGGCCAGGGATATATATAGTTTAGTGGCATAAGTGCCTGCCTGCCAAGCACAAGGTCTGAGTTCAATTCTCAGTACCAAAAAAGGAAGGAAGGAAGGAAGGAAGGAAGGAAGGAAGGAAGGAAGGAAGGAAGGAAGGAAGG